AGCCACACAGCCACCGCCACTGCGTCCGTCCCCGGTGAGAGCCGCTGACGCGCGGAGATGAAATTCCCGGCCTCGGTGCTGGCGTCCGTGTTCCTGTTCGTGGCCGAGACAACGGCGGCTCTCAGCCTGAGCAGCACCTACCGCTCGGGCGGGGACCGCATGTGGCAGGCGCTGACGTTGCTTTTCTCGCTACTGCCTTGCGCGCTCGTGCAGCTCACGCTTCTCTTCGTACACCGCGACCTCAGCCGCGACCGCCCGCTCGTACTGCTGCTGCACCTGCTGCAACTTGGGCCCCTTTTCAGGTGCGTGCAGACACCCAGAGCCAGCCCCAGGCCGCAGTCCCGGTCCTGTGGCCTGATCCCTGGACCTGCTCGAGTGGAGGGAGGCGGTTTTCCTGTGTAGACAGGTGGCTGGGCCCCAAGCCGGTCCGCCATGCCCCTCAGCCCCATTATTCCAGTCAGGAATGGGACGAATCATGGTATAATGGTTATAAAGCTGGGGCACACTGAATTCCTGTTACGTTCCATCCAATGAAATAGCCAACATTCAACTGAAATTGACCAACAAAAATGGCAGTTTCTTGTGCTTCAACCTCATTAAAGACATTGGTTTCTCTGGGGTCAAGTAGGCTCTGACAGGATTGGCTTTTGTGGTCACAAACCCTTGGGAAGTGTGTTCTAAGCTGTGGTTATGGGGACAGCATGTACAGGTGATTTAATTTTAATTTATCAAGCATGGAGCTTACTGTGTGCCAAGCACTGTTCTAAAAGCTTTAAAAATATTTAATTCTCATAGGGAAGTCGAGAAATCCATGCACCATTCTTTTCTCTTGGTGGCGTAATGAATATTATGGGATATGGAAACATATGGGGTTCTAGAAATGTCTTCCGGCCCTGGCGAACTTATAAACGTAGCCGTTAAAGCTGGTACACATGCACCATGAAGACAAAACTTGCTATGTGTTAAGTAAAGAAAAACTGTTAGTGACATTTCTGGAAATTCATTTTTATTAACACAAAGCAAGTAGAAATATATTGTAATAAAACAGACTGGCTTATCTAAAGAGTTTAAAATGTGTTGTTTTAGTACCTTTCATCTCTATTGGAAAAGTAAAACAAAAGACGTCCATTTGGATTAGAAATAAGTTTATAATACTGAATTTTGGACATAGGCAACAGAGGAATTTGAAGAGATGGAAAGGCCAGAGAGACACCTCAGCTGCCAGAAAATTCAGCTAGCTAAGGACCTTTCCTACCAGAAAATCTCTCTCTCTCTCTCACATACACACACACATGCACACACGCATACACACATCGAGGAGCAAGATAAATTTTACAAAGTTATAATTTTTTTTTTTTTTTTTTTGAGAAAAGATCTTGCTTTATCAGTCAGGCTGGAGTGCAGTAGCAAGATCATAGCTCATTGCATCCTCCACCTCCTGGGCTCAAGTGATACTCCTGCCTCAGTCTCCAGAGGAGCTAGGACTGCAGGCAAGCGCCATCATGCCTGGCTAATTTTCTTTTCTTTTTCTTTTTTTTTTCTTTTTCTTTTCTTTTCCTTTTCTTTTTCTTTTTTCTTTTCCTTTTTCTTTTTTTGTATTTTTTGTAGAGAAAGAGTCTCCCTATGTTGCCCAGGCTGGTCTCGAACTCCTGAGCTCCAGTGATCCTCCCGCCTGGGCCTCCTAAAGTTTTCCCTATGTTGCCCAGGATGATCTGGAACTCCTGAGCTCAAATGATCCTCCTGCCCAGGCCTCCCAAGGTGCTGGAATTACAGGCGTGAGCTACCACACCTGGCCATAACATTTTTGCACCTCATATTAAAGAAAACTGTTCCGGCTGACACACGAACTACTGACTTGTAGTTTACACAGTCACAGCAAACTTGGTGAACAAGTTTCTCAGCCTCCAGAAGCTGCAGAATCCTAGAAAGGAAAATAAACAGGTACACTGACAGGAGTGGGAGGTTGCTGCTGACTTCCTGATAGCTGGGGAAGAGTGTGGGGAAAAAGAGAGGGAGGGAGGGGAGTTTTAGAAGTCCTGGAACCTGGAGCCATTTAGTGAGGAGAGAGATAGTCCTTTCTAGCCAGGTAAACCCTGTGATCCAGACTGTATTCCCGCTCAGTAAAATAAGTGTGATCTGACTTTGGGCAGGGCACTTATCATTTCTTAACATTATCTGTGAGAAGAAAACAGATAATGTTTAAGTGGAGTAACAGGAAAAAGGGGAACTGACATTTCTCAAAAGCTTCTTGTGCTAGATGGTTTGATATATACTTACATCCCTCAATTCACTGAATCCTCACCATGACATAGATGTGATTGTCCCCATCTTGTAGGTGAGGAAAGTGAGGCCTCACACGATGTTCTCAAGGCTCCTTAAAAAGAGCTAATTATGTTCCCTGTGCTCAGTGGAAGAAAGCAGAGGACTGTGTAGTACATTCTATTAGTAGTTCCATTTTAAATTAAGAAAAAGTTTGGTCATCTTGGCAATCCAAGTAAATGATAATACCCTATCACTGCTGCTATTTCAAGTGTTTCTAAACACGAAGAGTAACCCAAGACAAAGCTAATAACATAATATATATAAAAACAAGATGACAAGTATAAACCTGAACTCAAGAAAACATACCAAGATGTTAAGAATAATAATTTCTGAATAGTTGGGTTATGAGTGATTTTAATATTCTGGAAAATATATAAAACCATATAATAAAACAATTATATATTTTTCTATATTTTTCAGTTTTTACAGTAAAAATATTTTAACTTTATTAAGGAAAGAAAACTTTTAGTGCTTTGAAGAGATAACTTCTCATCTATATATAAAGTTTCAACACTATAAAAATACCTATTTCCAGAAAGTTCTGAATGGGCCATTGTCTTCTTGAAGCAAAAACAAAATAAAAGATAAAAAAACAAAACAACAGGCAAACCCCTTCCATCAGCAAGGAGTCACTGATTCTAATGCAGCTGATTTATTTCAAGGAGATATTGGACCCATGACCTTACTGAGATACACAAAATGTGGTTCCAAGTCTCTTAGCTTCCAGATGAAAAGAAAAGCAGTTTGTTCTTGTGTATTAGCCTGACTTAATATCTTACTGGAATTTCTTCCTGCTGACTGTTTGATGCCATTTTAACTCTAAGACATCAACTTTACATAAAGATAAAAATTATTTCCCTCAAACAAAGGAGAGTCATGGTGATTCCTACCCCCTACTTTATGGATTGGATTTAGTAATATTTCTAAATTGTTTTTTGACAGTTTAACTCTTCTTGCCTTTGGATGAATACTAGCCAAACTTGTGTTTTTGCTAGGTAGATGCTGCGTTTGAGTTCATGCAGCACGATGGCCCAGTTAAACTGCAATACATTACACTAATGATTCTGGGCTAAATACTACTAACTAGGCTCTGCTCCTTCTTTCCTTTAGGGAGGCATAGGGAGAGCACCATATTTCATTTGTGTCAGTCTTGTATTTAAAATGGTAGTTACAGTTTTTATGATTGTTTTCACATTAAGCCTAAGTTTGAATGATACGAACTTTGGATAATGCCTTGAATTTATTTATAATTTTGAGGAAAATCTTATTGTGTATTGTAATAGATACTCTAGCAAACCAGAGCAGGGAAAAGATCTCTTACCTAAAACACAAAAACATTTTAAAAATTCTGTTTATGATTCTTTTACATTTATGCTAATTTTTATAAATTAATTGGGAGGAATAAATATAAATAAGTTACAAGTTCAAGGAATTCCCCTCATCTCTTTTTTATTACTGGTATAGTGAGGAAAAAAATGGTACATGAAAAATCTGCATTTATAAAATAAAGCCTAAGAAGTTCCCAAAACCTTTCCAGAATACTGCAAAATGATGCACCATAATATATCCTTCTACATTAAGCTTTTTAAAGAATTTAAAATGTTAATAGTCTACATTTGAAGAGAATTTCTTTTTTCATTTGCAAGGTGCTTTTATATACAGTGTTTAATTTCATCCATGGTAAAGCCCTGTGAGTTAACTGTCATTATCTTATTTTTACAGTCCAGGAATTGAGGTTCAGTGAGATTAAGCAAGTGGCTTTTCAAAGGTTTTGCAGCATTTTCTATTTAACCAATTTGGGTTTTGTGTAGGCTTACAGAGCATGTGTGTCATGTGAAGATAATGTGGCTTATTGGAAATTATAGTATTTCTTCGGAAAAAGTGTTTTAATTAGGGTCTCTGGTACCACAGATTATTTATGCTGACATCCGCATGCATGATTTCAGCTAAGGAATAAGCTCCTTCTGCTATGATGCTTGAAAATGGGATAAAGTAAAAAATAAGGATCAACTTGCTGATTATCTACATTGGGGTTAGCAAACTGTACCCCACAGGCCTAATACCCCCATCACCTGTTTTTGTAGGTAAAGTTTTATTGGAACACAGCCTTGCTCACTGGTTTATGTATTGGCTACAACTGCTTTCACACTGCAGAGACAGAATCGAGCAGTTGCAACAGAAACCATGGCCTGCAAATAATAAAATATTTACTTTCTTATAAATACTTCACAGAAAATTTGCTTTCCCTTGGTGTAGATGCTACTGAAAAACTACCTTGAGTATTCAATTTTGATAAAAGTATCTAATTTCTGGCTTTATTTAGCCAACCTCTCAAGCAACAAACAAATAAAAAACCAAAAAATAAAAACAGATTTTGAGTAATTAGATGAGTCTTGCAGAATTGCAAGAATAGTAGTTTGTTTCTTATCAGTTTTCCTAACCTACAGTGGCAGGAGGTCTTGGGGCCTTTTACAAATGTATTAAACACCTATGACTACATGTAAAACTCTATGCTAATACAAATGTATCACCTGGGAAAAAACAGTGGCTTACAAGAGGTTCCACCTGAGCTTTAGGACCTTCTTTCATTTCCATCAAATGACCATGGAAGTTTTACTTTGTCTACAATTCTGCAGAATGCTTCCAGTTTCATACAGCCCCTTCCTTGGCATCAGGAAAATTGCTTTCTCATCTGAACCCTCATTTCATTCATTCAGTTCTTAGCATGTGCTGGTATTTAATTTGTTTGTTTTAGTCTTTCAAAACTCTAAGCTTGATTTTATTATGCAAGTAAAACATTTTTTAAAATGACAGAAGGGCAGGAAACAGATTTGCACAATGAGGAAAATAAAAGCTCTCATTTGACTGCTCAGAGAGAACAATTCCTAATGCTTTTGTTGTATATCCTTACTAATATTTTTATAATGGCATGCTAGTAAACTGTCTCTTGGGGAAAACAAGCCCTGATTTTCAGTGTTTGCTAATTTCTCTAATGCGTATATTCCCATCATGATTGATCAAGCTACCAGTTGTTTAACAACTGGCTCACAGAATTCCTATTTAACAGTCTGCTCTCCTGAGTCAGTATGAGCCAGCTCAAACATTTCACTGTTTATATGTATGTGTGGGTATGTGTGTGTAATCTGTATATATTTCTTATATATGTGATTTTCTTTTTATAAAAAATGTAATTTAAAATACATGATTCTATTGTAATTTGCTTCTTCCACATACCAAATATGGTAAAAATAGGTAGCCTGGTCAACATAGTGAGACTGTTTCCTCACAAAAAATAAAATTAGCTGGGCACAGTAGCATGCATCTGGAGTGTCAGCTACTTAGGAGGCTCAGGAGTGAGGGTCCCTTGAGGCCAGCAGTTGGAGGCTGCAGTTGGAGGCTGCAGTGAGCTATGATCACACCACTGCCCTCCAGTGTGGGTGAGAGAGTGAGACTGTCTTTTGAAAAAAATTTATATATTGGTATTTGTACTTCTATACCATTGATGTTAAGGACTGTATAATGTTTCATTGAATTGATATATTAGGATTTATTTAATTATTCTTTCATTTTTGGGACCTTTAGAGTATTCCCAGAATTTTGCTATTATACATAATGCTATGATTTAAATTGTTGCAATACATTTTCTTCTAAGTGAGATCATACGTGATAAAATGTCATAACTGAAAGTGCTATATAAATATTAATTTTCATTATTTATTATTCTTATTGTGCATATGTCCCACTATCCCATTTAGATTGTGAGTGCCCCCGAATGAGGCAGGGTTATCCAGCTGTCTGCATCCCCACAGCACTTAGTAAACTGCATCTGCATTCATCTCATATTTGAGAATAAAGATGATTGTCAGTTTATTCTGTTTTTGTTTTGTTTTTGTTTTTGTTTTGTTTTATATTTTTGAGACAGAGTCTCGCTCTGTCACCCAGGCTGGAGTGCGGTAGTGCAATCTTGGCTCACTGTAATCTCTGCCTCCTGTGTTCAAGCAATTCTCCCGCCTCAGCCTCCCGAGTAGGTGAGACTACGGGGGTGCACCACCACGCCTGGCTAATTTTTGTATTTTTAATAGAGACGTGGTTTCACCATGTTGTCCAGATTGGTCTCAAACTCCTGACATCAGGTGATCTGCCTGCCTCAGCCTCCCAAAGTGCTGGGATTACAGGCGTGAGCCACCACACCCGGACAGTTCATTCTGTTTTCTACTCTTTGTTGTGGTCAGTGGTCCAACAGTGTGAAGTTGCTAGGCCTCATATAGCCCTCAGTGATTAATTTGAGTTTTCCTTCAGAGAAAATTCAATTGGACATGCTTGGGATTGAACTTGTGGCCTGAACTTCACTGACATTATTTCCAACTGAAGAAACTGGTCTGTGTGGTTTTACATATTTTCATGTAATACATTAAAGTATTCTTGACCCCACGGGACAAAATGTCGTACACAAATCAACACCCCCACACACCCACACACACCATGCACTTTCTTTCTCCTAGCAACAAATGAAAAATGGTATTAATCACAAAATATGTCCACTTTGTACTCACCAGAAAGGTTCCTGCATTTCCTCTCTTATGTCAAGCTTTGTTTTATTATTTCAAACTATAAATACATTCCAGTTGCCGTAGTCGCCTCAGGGTGACAGTATAAAGTTAGCATTATAACATTAACATTCAATGAAATAGATGAAGCCATTAAAATCTTCTGGCAGCATCATAAGGTTGTTATAAAAGTGCATGTTAGAGGAGGGACAAAACGTCCTTTAACAAGTTATAAACCTACGGCCGTGAGTATTTTTCTTACTCCTAGGGAAAACACATTTTTCACCAGAATTTTATTATGAAAATTTTCAAACACACAGAAGAAAAGTTGAAGGAATTCTATAGTGAATGCCCAAGTACTTACCACCTAGATTCTACAATTAACATTTTGTTTCACATATCTATCCATCTATCAATTCGTGTGTGTGTGTGTGTGTGTGTGTGTGTGTGTGTGTGTACTTCAAAGTTAATCACAGACCTCAGTATTCTTCCAGCTTCAGCATCCATATTTTTACCTAGAGAGGAAATTCAGATGTTAAAAGCCAGGTATTCTCTCAGTCTGGAAAGGTCACTGATTAAGTCTCCATCCCTAGGTGGGACTAACTTTAGTCCTGCCCTGTAAGGACAAATGAAAACAGAGATAGGTAACATGTCGTGGTCTCCCAGTGAAATGCTAGATGGTAAGCTGCCTTGTGCTGGAGGATTTCCAAGCCATAGCTTCTGCTTTAACTGGGGTGGTTTGGGGCATCTTTTGGATGTGGAACACACACGTATGTGCGTGCATGCATGCAGTCACACTGTATTATCATTTTTCACAGCAATATGACAAAGTGGGCATTATATCTGCTTTATAGTGGAGGGAATATACTGGGGTGGGGATAGTAAGTGACTTGGCTATGGCTACACAGCTAGTATGTGTCAGGAAGGCAAACTGCACATTATTTCTGTGACCCTGGAGCTGGAACCACTTTCCATTCTCTAAGATATTTCCTTGCTTCAGTGGCCTTTGGTGTTACTTCTTCATTTGGTTCTCATACATTCCCATTGGCCTCTTGGAAAGCCTCAAGAGGACTGCATACGGAGAACTGGTCCTTGGAGTGGTTGATTTAGAAGAGTGACTACAGTTCAGAGTAGTCAAGTCAAGTCTTTGAGAATCAGGCTAAAGGTAAGTAGGATGAGCATGGAAAGTCAGAATCCTGTCTGTCTCTAATTATTATGACTTGCTGATTTGTTTTCAGGTGTTTTGAAGTCTTCTGCATCTACTTTCAGTCAAGCAACAATGAAGAGCCTTATGTCAGTATCACCAAGAAGAGGCAAATGCCAAAAAATGGCCTCTCAGAGGAGATTGAGAAAGAGGTGGGCCAGGCAGAAGGCAAGCTAATCACCCACCGATCAGCGTTCAGCCGGGCATCAGTGATCCAGGCTTTCTTGGGCTCAGCCCCTCAGCTGACCCTACAGCTGTACATAAGTATCATGCAGCAGGACGTCACTGTTGGAAGAAGTACGTATATTTTTAATTTCTGCCTGCATTTGGGGATCAAAATGAGAAGCAAAACATAGTTTATTTTGTTTCAAAGGAAATTTATTCTTAAGTGCATTTAATTCTGAATCTATGTTCTAGTTACTATGCTCAAAACTCAGTTAAAATAACAACATTTATTTTGCTTATGACTCTGCATTCCAGGCAGGGCTCAAAAGGGTTACCTAATCTGTGATCCACTAAGGATCAGCTAGGGTGGCTCAAAGGTGGGGGGCTAGAATCTATTTATGGCCCCTTCATTCACATGTCTTGTTGCTCACATGTTTTGATATTGGCTGTTGCTGGGAGTCTCAGATCTTCTCCATTTGATTTCTCTGTGTGAGTGAGTTTGGGCTTCCTTAGAGCATGGTAGCTGCTTCCAAGGGTGAGTGTTCTAAGAATGAGGGAAGGCCAGATGGAAGCCGTATCAGCTTTTGTGATCCAGGCTTGGGAGTTGGGGCACATCACTTTTGCTTCCTTCTCATTGTTGAAGTACTCAAAAGTTCTGCCCAGATTCAAGGGAAGGGAGAGGGAAGCCAACTCTGACTCTTGTTGGGGAATGGTAGAGTTCTGGAAGATCATGTGGGACCAAAAATACCACTGTGGCCATTTTTAGAAAATATAGTTTACCAGAGGCTGAAAATACAGCTACTGGAGGCTGGTCCTCTTGGGATTTCACTCTGTCTTTCAGTGCTAGTTCTCAACAAGTTGAAACAGTTGGCTTAACAACTTTGTGGTGAATAATGGAACAAGGCTACTTTCCTGTCTTCTTAGATTTGTAATAGGTATATCAGTTTATAAGTCAAGACAATGTTCTACCTTTGGGCTATTCTCACATCATCAAAATAAGAGCAGATTTTGGTTAAGTTTAAAAAACAACACTATTTGCATCAGAGTCAAGATTTTATTGAAAAGCCTACAAATGAGAAGTGGATACCCTCCCAAGTATTAATATTATGGGTAAATGAAAACTATTATGGTAAGTTTTATTATGGGTGTACAAAATGATTTAAAAGCCTTAAGTTGAAAAAATACATGTTTAAGAAAACATTGAATATAAGAAAGACTTATTTATTTTACTTCACTCAGTTTTATCCTCTTTCTACCTATATTTCAGACTGGCTGGTAATAATTCATGTCAGAGTCACAGGATACTTACATGTTGAGCCATCTCCCTTATCCAGGTTGCCTGATTGTATTTCTTAAAGTATGAGTCAGGATCTCAAGTAGAGATCTTGAACCTTAGTGGATCAACATTTATATGGAAATACTTTCCACAACACCTGGTAGGGAGTAAAAGCTCAATAAATATAGCAGCATCCATGTTCCCTAAGGAATTATAACTGGAATGGGTCTTGACCAAACTGCATGCCACTATACTCTTTTTCCCAGTTTATTGTTTTTCCAAGTGGCAGGGATACAGCAATAAATCAGATGTGATGATAGCCTATTTGATTTTTAGAGGTAGATCCAATTTTTTTCCTCAAGTTTTTTTAGTGACGATTGTCTCACAGTTGAGGGGTTGGCAAACTACATCCCATGGGCCTAATCTGGGCACTGCCTGTTTTTGTCAGTAAAGTTCTATTGGGACACAGCCCTGCTCTTTCATTTATGTATGGTCTGTGACTGTTTTGGGACTAAAACAACAGAGTTGAGTAGTTGCAATAAACATAATGTGGCCCACAAAGTCTAAAATATTTACTAACTTTTTACAAAGAAAGTTTGCCAACCCTTGTTACAATTTTTCAGACATAATTCTGTTCAGGAAAAATCAGATCTATCTTATAAAATGTCAGTGTCACAATGGATATCTGAAATGTCCCAAAAGAACTTGGAAAACCATAAGTCCTCTGAGAGTTAAATGATAAATCAAATAGCTACGGAAAAAGGAAGTGGGCATGGTCTTGTTAAAAAGATAGATGGCTGCCATTTATGCAGGTCTTGACTAACCCCAATCACTGCCTTAATATATATAAGGAAGGATTATCTCACTCGGAAAGGGTAAGACCCTTATGAATGGAGCATGGCCTAGGGTGTGTCACAGAGGCAAATGTTGGTAGTGTCTGTCATGTGGTTAGAAATGTATTTGGTGCAAGGAACAAACACCTAACTGTAAAGTTAACCTAGAGTTTATTTTTCTTATCGAACTAGATATTGGAAGTAGACAGTTGCTGACATTATTTCAGCTGCTCAATAGTAGCAAAGTTGATGTCCCTGCCAAGCCATTGGCCTTTTGCTTGGGTTGCTACTACAGTTCCAACCATCATAGCTACCTTCAAAACAGTAAGAAGGGCTGAAGAAGGAAGGGTAGATATCTTTCTCTTTTTATTAATGAATGTAGCTTTTCCATGAATCTCCCTAATAGACTTTGCTTTGTCTTCCTCCTTTTATTAAAAACTATAGCTTTTCCAGAAATCTCTCTGACAGAAATGACTTTAGGTCTCTAACCAGAACCGATCAGTCATTTAGCTTCAAGGGATGCTAGGAAAGCCAGGTCTAGGAATGTTTGCCACCAGTGGTTTAGACCAGTATTCCTCAAACTTCCCTGATGATGATTAGAGTTACCTGGGGGCTTGTTAAATATATAGATTGCCAGGATTCATCTCTGGAAACTGTGATTTGCTGTGTCTGGGATGGGAGCCAAAATTATGTCTTTTCTTTTTATTTCCCTTTTGTTCTTTAAACAAGGGCTCCAGGTGATTTTATTATCAGCAAAGTTTGAGAACATTGGGTTAGACTAGTCATGGCCTGCATGTGGTTGGGCCCATGACCACCCATAACAAAACCATGTTCTCTTAAGATAGTGAGAGGAATGGAAAATGAATAGGCAGCTGACAGTGTCTGCCACATCATCTAAATGCAGTCCAGACCAATAGAAATGTGTCCCTCTTGACAGAAGGACATAGAGTCCATCACAACCTGACCCTATTCAGCATTCCAATTCTGTAACTCTCTCCTCTCTCACTGATTCTGTGCTCATTGAGCAAACATTGATGGATTTGGCATTAGCAGAGTTTGCCGTGAGGGAGAGAAGGGAGAGCCAGCTACATGGTCACTGGAGAGTTATTGTTTTTCTTCAATTGCAATACAATTTATATAACATAAATTTCACCATTTTAAGTGTACGATTCAGTAGGTTTCAGTATATTGACAATGTTATACAATCATCACCACTGTCTAGTTTTAGACATTTTCATTGCACCGAAAAGTTTTGGACAATTTTAGACATTTTCATTACATCAAAAAGAAGTCCCCTATTCATTAACAGTCACTCTTCATTTCCCTTGCCCCTAGCCCCTGGCAACCTACTAATCTACTTCCTGTCTCTATAGATTTGACTATTATGAATCTTTCATATCAATGGAATCTTATGCTATGGGGAAGTTTTCTTTCTCATAGTCAGTGAATAATGGACACTGTCTGTGAGCTTCAGTCTTGGGTGAGTTTGGACATCCTGAGATTCCCTGAGTCTAGTCAGTTCTCAGCAAGGGCTTGCTCAAGTCTGAGGATCTTGGAGGATGGGTTGGGCTGAAGCCTAAGTGAGCACACCAATGTTACTGTGCTTTGTGAAGGCCCCTGCAGCCTGCCATTTGGCTTGCCTGTCCCTCACAGTACCCTTCTCTATTCCACTCAAGGTGGTAATGTTGGTAGTAAAAATGACTGTTTCATGAACCCTTGATTTGTGGCAGGTACTGTGATAGGCATTCTTCTGTTTCATTTACACAGTGTCCCTGAGGTAGATAATGTCTCCATCTTACTAAAGAGGGAAATTGGGCCAGGCACAGTGGCTCACACCTGTAATCCTAGCACTTTAGGAAGCCAAGGTGGGCAAATCGCTTGAACCCAGGAGTTTGAGACCACCCTGGGCAACATGAGACCCCATCTCTACAAAAAATACAAAAATTACCCGGGAGTGGTGGTGCATGCCTGTGGTCCCAGCTACTTGGGAGGATAAGGCGGGAGGATTGCTTGAGCCTGGGAGGACCTTGGCTCCAAAAAAAAAAAAAAAAATAGGAGGAAAATTGTACTCAGTCTGCCAGAGGAGCCAGAATTTGAGGTTAGATTTGTGTGACTTTATTTATGGACTCAATGAGTATTTCTTGGGTGTGTTCTGTGTTTTAGACCCTGTACTGGTCTCTGAGGATAAAGTGGTGAATAAGGTAGACAGGCCCCAATCATCTTCGAATAGGATATATAAACATCAGACAAATTATTAATCAAATGCATAATTTATTTAAGGTAAATCCTGCAAAGTGAAAGATAAGTAGCCTCTCTGAGGGTATATTGGGGGGTGTCTAACTGAGTCTGAGAAATGAGACAAAGGTTTCCAAAACTTAGGTTTAAACTGAAAACTGCTAGATGAAGAAAAGAAGCCAGATGAATAAAAATCAGGAAAGAGCATCCCAGGATTTCAAGCTTTATTCCAGAGGCAATGGGAAGGCACTGATGAGTTTTAAGTAACAAGTCTCATGATCAAATTTAGTTTTAGAAACTGATTACTCTGCAAAATGGATTGGAGGAGAGTGAAGGAGGAAACAGAGAGGCTAGGAAGTGGGCTACTATAGTTGTCAAGGTGAGAATAATGGCCTGGACTGGAATAGTCAGAGTGGATTATTGGAGCAATATTAAGAATGCGTAAGTGGAACAATGTGTTGATTGATTGGATATGAAGGTGAGGCAGTGAGAGATGTCAAGAATAATTCCCAGTTCCTGATATGGACTGTTGTAGCCATGGATCTCCATTTGTCTTGGTAGTGAAGTAGCAGGTTTGCAAGGTATATTTTACTTTCAGTTTCAGGCTTAAAGAAATGAACACATTTTAAAGATTCTATTTAACTCATGAGAGAACAAGCAGATGTTCGGACCAGCTTATAAGATAACCCAAAGGACAGATGTAGGAATATTGACTAGAGATATCAAAATGAGTATGTAAATGGAAGTAAAACTGGTTTTATTACAGCATGAGAAGGGTGACATTTGAA